CTTGGACTCTGCCAGGGCTCCATGTTCTTGTTCACGAAGAAAAAACTTGCTGTCCTCCCATGTGACTCACCTCTTTCCTGGGCTCCCAGCCTATGTTTCAGGGACACGTTGGCCAAAGAAGGTCCCAGCTCACCTTCGCATCCTAGGTTGTCTGCTTGACATCATTGCCACCTGCCGTTGGTCCATACCTGAATCCTAAAGGGACCCTCCCCCCTCACCAAGATGAGGCTGAGTCCTCCCGGAATCACAGCCAGTTTTGCAGAGTCCCAAGAGGGGAAGGGAAGAGAGGTGGCACCTTCAGGCTCCATGTCACCCCTTAGTGGCCTCTTACTCCCACCCTGGGCGAGTCCAACCAAAACCCCTATCTATGTGCCCCCCAGACCCCAAGGAAAGAACTGGCCAGATGAAGGGAGGCTTGTCCTATGTGTGTAAAAGGAGAAACTGAGCTAAATGGTTCCTAAGCCCCAGCTAGCTCCAGTCCTCTCTGCTTCTAGGTATTATAATCCTCAGAGAAGGCCGTGTGACACTCTTAGTAGTCCTGACAGAGGTGACCCTTTGTAAATGCTCGCATCTGATGTCCTGGGAAGCCAGGTGGTGTTAAAACGAGGGGCTCCACTTACCACACAGCTAATCCCCAGCTGGGCCCCCTGCACAGCACACCTCACTTTCGTTCACTATTTTGGCTTAAACAGAAATGCCAGTGCTTCCTAAGCTTTTACTGAAGGACAACTGTGAAAAGAGGGAACAAGAAATGAACAAGGAAACAAATCCTATTTCTTTTACTTGTTTTTCACTTTCCCCCAAGCCTTGGAGTAAGAAAACAGATAAAATTACAACTTGGAGCAGAGTAGGCAGTGAGCCCCCTGTTCTCCTGCCTGGGGGTCTCTGCCAAGTAAAGCCTAAAATCCACTGGCCTGAAAGAACACACTTGAGGAAGGTCTCCTGCGGGTGAGGAGTTTGAGCAGGTGGGTGCTGGCTGGGTGATGTGACGTGGACCCTGGACTCTTCTGAAGGTTCGGTCCCTCCCATGTCTGGCTGTTTGCTGGGGCTCTCAGCCACACACCCACACAAGACCCACCCACGTGGCTTGTACCAGGTTCCAGGTTCCAAGTTCCAGGGCACGTGATCTGAGAAGACACCTCACCTGTTGTGATCTAGCTTTGGAAGTCAGGAGTGTCACCTTTGTGTGTTCTATGTGTTGAGGATCTTCAAAGGCCCACCTCAGTTCAAGGGTGAGGAGTGATCAACTGTTTCTTGGTGGCAGAGAGGCCAGGTTCGGAAGACCACCCTACCCTCTGCCATACCTGGCACAGCGTGGGGATGGGTGAGGCGGTCCACCTGCCTCTCAAGGTTAGGGTTGACAGGCAGGACCTCTGCAGCTTTGTCAGCTGCCACCCACGTCTCTGGTCCCACCCGGCCCTCTGTGGGCACATAGGATTCCTTTGGGCGGAGCAGAATTTTTCATCAGATCGATAGAAATACGTAAATCTGCCCTCTCATCAGCTGTCGTTTCTCCATTTAGGTTATAAACTGATTCTGTTCCCAGGATTTCAAGTGAGAGCCTTACAGTAAAGCCACAACCGCCTCAAGTAATGCTCCCCCCCCCACACACACTCTCAGGATCCTCTCTTTCAGGACTAGAATTTGTGAGGCAGCGGTTTGCTTAGGAGGGACGGCCCCTGAGAGAAGGCGCCTCAGGCCTTGTCACTGGTCATGAACCTTGAGCTCTGAGTTTGTTTCCTTATGCCTCTTTATGTCTTTTTTATCTTTAAAATATATATATATATATATATATATATATATATTTAATATTCAGGTGTATTTTTTCCATACTTTTTCATTATGGTTTCAATTACTGTTTTTGGTAACTTTTTTCTTTATTATAGTTTAGAGATGTGAACAATACAGCAGAGTATAGAGAAGAAAATAAAAATTTGTGCTTATACTGCCCCTTGAAATAATTGTTAATATTTTAGCGCTTCGCCTGTTTGAGTATTTCCTCATCATTAAATAGTCTTGTATTAAAAATGGTTTTAATGGCTAAGTACGAATTGATGTACCAGAATTTATTTTAACCATCCCCTTTATTGTTGGACATTTATTCCCTCTTTCCCATATTTTAATATAATTGCTTTTGCATTATTGAAAAACATTTTTATTTAGTATATATGATAAACATTTTTTCATACGTAAAGGCTTAATAAAAATATTTACATTTAAATGCATATATACATTTTCTTGTTGAGAGATTCCAGGAAGTGGAATTATTTTGGCTCATAGGATACAAACAGTTTAAAGTTTTTGCTACATGGTCTGAACTTGCTTTCCCCAATTCGCACAATCTGCACATAATTGTAAAAGAAAAAAAGGCAGGAATTATACGTTTGGGGGAAAATGTAAAGCCATATTTTAAATGATTTAATTCAGGTTTGATTTATATTTGTTTTAGCCCTAAAATGAAGATCGAGTCATTTGATTCATTTTAAGAGTGTTTTAAATTCCTTGGTTCCATGTTCTGATTCTGTTTTTTCTCTCGTTAAGTGTATTCTCAGCCGTATATATTTTCCCACTAATGCTGTATTTTTCTCCTTCCTGCATGACTTGTGGCTTCAATGCTGTCAATCATTTTTCTCCAGATGTTCTTTTTCTTAGTGCCTCATTTATTTCATGCACGACTGTGGCGTTACTCGTTGCCCATTCTCTCAGCCTCCACGTAATTTGTCTACTTTGTAATTCTGCATCTTTGGATGATAATGTTATCACTTTTAGGATCAGCAAAATGCTCACATATATGTGTGTGGTTTTTATGTACTTGCTGTCTTCTCATCATCACTGCTTTGGCCATTTATGAGTAAAGCTTCATGCGTGCTTCCTGTTTAATTGTGTCCATTTGTCCTCAAAGTTGTATATTGTTGTCACTAGATTCCTTTGCTTTTGTGTATACATTTACTTGCAGTATGTTAGACTTCTCCAATATTTATAATAGTAGTTTATAGTTTCCATTAGCACTGTTTTATTCTAATATGGTTGGTCATTTGGGATATAAAATTTAGAGCATTTTGGAGTCACTACAGTGAATGTTAAATTACATATCTGGGTTTAATGGTTATTCACGGACTCCTTATAATATTATATAACTCATGACCCCTAAGGACTTTTGATATCATCACACCTGGGCATTTTGTTGTTATTGTTGGGTCATAATTATAGCTTTTGCAGAAACTCTGTAGTATAATTTGTATAGATAACTTAATTGTTTCCCTTAAGACTTTCACTATTACATTGTTGGGATAATGTTACTTTTACATTTGGTTAAGTTTTAATTCTCAGTTCACTTTTTGCTGCTTATTTATTATTTATTTATTTATTTATTTATTTATTTTTGATAGTTTTATTGAGTTGTAATTGACATATAACATTGTGTAAGTTTAAGATGTACAATGTGTTGATCTGAGACATTTATATATTGGAACATGATTACTACTGTAGCATTAGCTAACAGCTCTGTCATGTTACATACTTATCATTTCTTTCTTTGTGGTGGGAACGTTTAAGATCTAATCTCTTAGCAACTTTGAAGTATATACCATGGTATCATTGGCTGTAACCTCTGTGTTGTGTATCAGATCTCCAGAACTTAATCATGTGTAGGAGCAAGTTTGCGCCCTTTAATGACATTCCCTCAGCCCCCCAACCCCAGCCCCGGGAACCCCTATTCTACTCTCTGTTTTTACAAGTTCAACTTTTTTAGATTCCACATATAAGTGATATAATACAATATTTGTCTTTCTCTGTCTGGCTTATCTCACTAAGCATAATGCTGCTGTTTTCCTTTTCCTTTATATAAGAGTCCATATTGTCTTTCCAAATTTTCTTGACCTTATTCATTCTTTTCTTTTAAAAATCTGTGGCCTTCTAAGAGCCCTTGACCCTGCCCATGGGGAGTTTATAGTCACTCGGGTTGTGAGAACGTCACACATGTCAGAGCTGCTGTGCCCCAAGGTGGAAACGTTGTTTGGGGCCTTGAAGGAAAGGTTGGGCTTCGGAGAAGACTGGAGGACAGGGCACGGGCAGGAAGAACAGTATGACAGTGGGAGGGCAGTGGGGTCAGTCCAGCTGGCAAAGGTTAGGTTGCATTTAAGAGTAGAGGGCGCAGAACTAGTGCCAGGCGTGGAAGGGCAGGGCTGGAACTGCTGTGGTGGCTTGGTACAGGACACTGCCATAAAGGAGGCATTTGTGGGTCATGTCAAGGATATAAGTCTGAAGGTGAGACATTCAAGAAGGAGGCGTTCCAAGACTTGACTGTTCATTCATGGAACTGACGAATGCCGCATGCCTGCTATGTGTCTGCCATGTGCCAGAGCTCTGACCCATCATCTCTGCTCTTAGGGGGCTGGCATTTATCATCCCACCCCTTAGGGGCTTACATTCCAGGGAAGGAGAGAGGAAATGAACACCTGCATGTACAGCGGCCATATGTGTAATACACACCTCGTGGCATTTAAAGTTTCCTGAACATTTTAGCGTTCAGGGGTTGTGACCAGTGTGCAGACAAAGTTTCTAAGCACTGTCACATTCCTGCACCCTTTCAGGAATATCTCTTGGCTCTTACAGATTAGCCTGGTGGCTCATGTGACTCTCCCCAGTGCCCCTTTGGTTACAATTCCTATTACATCATCAGTCTGCCTGTGGGTGCAGCTGGAAGACTCAGGCTCCCCCCAGGATAAAGCCACTTTAGGAGCTGACATACTGGAAATAGCATTTGAAAGGACCAGATATGGGAGGTAACCGGTGGAGCCATGTAGATACATCTGTTCATCTGGTGATAACCTGCCATCGGTTCCTGTTTCCCCTAGAATGACCTTCAAGGAAGACACATTTTGTTGTGATTCTGCTGGGCTGCAGAAGCCGTGAGAGCATGCCACTGGGTGTCTTACTGATGTGTTCACAGCCCTGAAAAGTCTGTAGCTCACAGTGATCTTTTTCTTTTTCCTGGCTAGGAATCTTATATGCTTTCTGAGGAGCTTGGAGAAAAATGTGACGCCATAGGCAAGAAGTTGCTATACTTGGAAGATCAGCTTCACACAGCGATCTGCAGTCACGATGACGACCTCTTTCATATCCTTTTCATTAAGCACCTGCTAGGTTATTTGGTAAAAACAAGTCTTAAAAACATACACAATTGCCCCAAGCCTCAGCAGATGGAAGCAGATAGGTACTGCTATTATTATAGGACCGCACACCTCAGATCTGAGATTATCCAGTATGCAGTGTATTCTCTCTAGTTTTTGGTAAGGCAGCATTTTTTATTCCAAAACCTGACCATGCAGTTCAGACATGCAACCATGAGACCAAAGCAGAGTGCAGTTTTCAGGGGGTGGGAAGCTGGGTGTGTGGGGCTCAGTTTCCTGGGGGCTTTCTCAATACCAAAAAACCCAAATGCATGCGTGCTTTTCTTTACTGTGTAATTCTGCCATGTAACACGCAGTAGAGTGTCACAACTCATGGGACTTTAGGTTACTTCTTTGCAATTTCTTCTTGCACAAGACTCAATGTACCTAGCGTCACATACATACAAATACGTTCATCAAAGCTGGCTGCCAGTGAGCAAGATGGCACGAGAGCATACTGGCACCACATGCCATGCATCCATGTGCAGCACTGTCCCCTGCTGACCTGTGGGGACAGTCAGTTTGTCACTGCCCTGTTCTTTTGCGACAGATGAGTGGGTGCACAGATGGATGAAGGGATATGCAGC